GACAATAATAAGCTGTTTAGTGGAAACTAGGGGATAAGGCAAGGTGGAGGCTACGCGGTCTGGATTTAAGGTATGATTGACTAATGATGGAAAATAGTCCACAAAGCATTCAACCCCATCTCGTCAGACTCTTTCGGTACTATTCCTTCATTTAAGTTAACTAGTTGGGAGGCGTTACTCGGGTTATGCACCGATAACTAATATCGAACACGTGCGCCAGATCCCACCTCCGGTCTCCGTCTTGACACCGGGCATAGGTGGGTGAGGAAAGAGAGAGTGCGGTAGATGCTGCGCAAGTCTACTATCACTTAAAACTAATTCACGGACCAGTCACCGTTCCTTCACCACCCTGTTGTGGGGCATACGGTGGACATCATCGAAACCGGTGGTCGAACTATCACCCGGACGGGCGTTACGTACAAATTACGTTTACAGATTCAACACGAATTTGCACGCTTTCGCCAGTTCCTCTTTCCGCAAAAAGTGGGCCTTTATCAATAATTTAATGCCACTTTTGAGAACGATTTGTGCTTTCTTTTTGTTGAAGTTCGTGAGTACTAAACTAGGCACCAGAAGCTATATTTTTGAGTCTGTTTCTGAGTCAACAGGAGACGTGTCATGAAATACGACAAGTTTAATCCGTATTTTTTGCACCTACGAGGTTGGGAACTAGCATAGCGATATTGTTAGCGTACTCGGAATTAGGCAGTCAGCGTCGCAATCTAAAGTTTATTTGTCGCTCGAGAATCCAGTGGAAGATGTAGTTAAATCGGATAGGCGAAAGGACTTCTTCTGACAGGTGTCTGGCAGAATACAGAACGGCTGTGGGAGACTATTAGGGGCAAGGATACGGGCAGGATTTGAAGGACAGGTTCTGATTAGAAATATTAGGTTGATCGGCAAATCGTCTGTCTTCAGTACCCGCTGCATGAACCTACTACAGACAGGATCGAAATCGGATGAACTCATAAAACGGGACGGTCGCTAGCAGCCGACAACATGCACGGTTTTCTAGAATGAGCCACGGTGTAAATATGTCGCCAGCACATCCGCGTTTAACATGGAAGCCTGTTTAAGTGCACACTCAACTGATGGACCGGCTCGTTGTGAGAACCGGACACCGTGCTCACTTAAAGCACACCTGATTTCTCCGACAGCATTGTTTTGAAGGTTTTTACAACATGTCTACCTTGGAGGATATCAATGAGCTTGGGTCCATGCTGAGATAGGTCAAATAATTTTTCCAATATCTAACGGTTTACTGGCACGAATAGCAAGAAACGTTGGGCCCTATTGTGTGTTCATTGCTGGCAACATAAAGCCTATTCCGAAAAAGATTAACCTAAGCTCGGAATAAGTTTTCTCTTCTAAGAGACCAGAAGCGCAAATAAATGTCAAATACCTAATTGCATGTATTTTTGAGAACTTTGTAGGCATCAAATCAAATAATTGGTTCCCACGTGGGCTACAATTGTTAACATAACCAAGCAAAAATCTGTTCAGTTTTAAGCACATACAATGAGAGCACCAACGAGGGCACCAACCTTGAACGACGAGAGCGAACAGGAGTGAGAGGTTTCCCGCCATCGATAATCGTTATGTGTTTGCGCGAACTCTCTGGAGTTGTACTTTTGCTGCTGGCCGTGGAACACGAAGTACTTCGTTGAGAAGATGGGTCGGAATGTTTGCATGGGCCGGTGGATGGCAGATGGTCCTTTTGTCTGTTCTGACAAAATTCGTCTATGTCCAGAAGCGCAAAAAGACAGATGCAGCACTCGGGTGGCTGTTGGTATTCGGAAAGTCTCGATTTCAAATCCTAGAACAGATGGTTATTGAGAGAAATTGTACTACGTGTACTAATTTGTAATAACAGCCAACGAATCTAGGGAAGTTGTAAAGAGGAATTCAATCATTTTATACACCATTCCATAGTAATTAAACTGAAACTTGATAAATAAAACCTAAGTTATTTAAGATTAAAGTACTTGGATTGAATTAAGGCAGCATGAAATTCAGAAGCTTTAGTGCACACGGAAGTACATATCCAGGAGCCCAGTAATCGCATCATTATCAGCAGTGAGGGAAACCTAACTACTTTAACTAAACACTTTTTCGCTTAATGTGAGAAAATGGCCATCCTGGAACGACAGTGCCGATTGTAGAAAGTATGGAAGCTCTGCATTCGGTCATTTCAACACAAGCTGCTATAAAGATTCTTGGAAAGAGCAGCAGGCATTCGGACTAATCTTAGAGGAACGGCAATCACAGATGGCATTTCGGACGAGTAGTAAGTATACATTTGGAATGCAATGTTCAGGGTCGTACTAATACATAGGGTCTGGTTTGCTAATATGCCATTGTCTTAGCATGAATTTGCGACATACAGTATCAAGCATAAGTGGTTACCTCATGCCCATTGAAGCGCCCTTGAGAACCTAAGAATTTTGACCAGAGTCTAAGAGCAGGCTTGCAGTTTCACCAAAGGGTTTGCTACAATGGTCCGCGGCGTAACCAAAGTAAACGAAAACAAAAGTAGCATGACCATGCGTTTAGGTACGCAGCTTGGCTTTCTATAGCTGTTTATGAATACTGAGAAAATTAGGAATAAGTAATATCCCAATTTCTTCAGTTGTATTCGATGTAAGCAAATAGAAGCGGGCACCAAGAGTAATCCAAGTCAAGTAGCACAATAAACATTAATTGTGCTAGGAAATTTAGTTCGGGGATAAGCTGTTCTAGCTTCTACTGATAATTAAAATAGCTAGACAAAGGAAAGTGGCAATGCAGAAGACCTGATTTTCCCTGAAGCTTTAAATGACCAAGAGCATCAGCTGAGCATTTAGACGAAGAGATATGAAAATTGCGTAGTTCAAACACCCTCATAAGCTTCGGCAGGATTTCTAAGTACTGGAAATACTGGTCTACGACCCATAGCGACGTGGCTTATTTTTTGAGTGACAGACGTCTGCAGGTCATGAAATTTCAGCAGCCGTGAGTGTTTAAAGTGTTTGGCCTGTGCATAACACCAAATTATTGTTAATACTAGCATGCTGGCATGAGTAGGTGAACAAACCTGTTTTAATGCAACCAAAAACGGCAAATATAGGTGACAGATCCACTTTTAATGGAAACATTTCGAAATTCAGTCCACTGGTATTATACAGGTCACCCTTTGCCGCGTCGCCATCGGCATATGAGTGAATAGAGACAACGACCCAAAAGCGTATGCGACTCAGTTGCCTACTACGTATTAAGAATAGACACGAATACATGTCCCTTGATAACAATTTGAAATGAAGAGCACAGCGTCAAAGGCATGATTAATGGCGTACTGGGTGTTATAAACGGAAACGTGTAAATCCAAAAAGGATTTTTTTTACTAAGGTTGAGCCTGCACTGTTAGCCTCAAGTGAATTCACCATAGCCTTTTGAGATAAAACAAAAGTTATCGTTGCAGCAAAAAATAACTAGCGCTAAAAAGAAAAGAAATGTTAATGCAATAAACGTTTACCTGCAGAGGGCGGTGAATAGAACAATAGGCCGGGAAATTTTCTCTAAAAACAGCAAAGCCATTAGCCTTGTAAAGACAAGGTAGATGAAAGGTGCCGCGGCATTTGGCGTTACTACAACCAACGCACGCCCCTGGGACCCCACATTGACGGCAACGGAGGCGTCTGCCCCGCTTTAATTCACTTTGAACTTCTTCATTATCGAACCCATTTATGAAGCGCTTCTTATCGTGTGCAGACAGTTTCTCGGGGTCACACTTTTGCACTAGACCACTGGCAGTATACTATACACATACGGTTAATGCATAACTAAGAAACCAACCAAGCAGTTAGTGTGAACAATAATATCTCCCGATTCGACAAAGTCACCAAGGATCGGATCCATAGATGCGCTTCGGCAAAACATGCATATTCTTCCTGAAATCCAAAAAGTTATGCAGATACGACTCAAGTACCCTCCGAAAGCGCCATACCAAAACCTGTGCCGACCAAGAAAAAGAACGGTTTTTAAGTTTCGTTTTGCATTTTCCGCTAAAATTTCAGTTTTGTAAAACCTAACAGTTATTTACACAAATCCGGGAATTTATTTATGAATCTACCTCGATCTATATTTCTTCATTTGTTTCAGTTTCTGCAATCTTTGAACTCCTGCTGAACTGCATCTTCTTTGTTTTATCACAAGTGGGTTGTTTGGGTAATCAGTGCTCTCTTTTTATGGGGAGGCTTTAGTTCAAGTTTCTTGGTCTCGCGCTGGACTCCGACCAAAAGGATGTCCATTCAGGTGCTGGACTTTCTGTCCCTATATGAATGGATTAATTATAGTGCACTTAATCCGCTCTTTCCCACTTCGTGGCCAGCTGACTCTCACTGGGAATGTGAAGTCATTGTTCTTAACAGGTCAATTTATTAAGGGGAATAGCCGTAAGCCTTTCAGTACCTATGGGTGAAGTTTAATTGAGGGAAATTTACAAAGGAATCATGCGGGTTGCCAGAGCTCTAAGAAAACTATATAATGTGACAATTTGGGCGTGAGTTTTAAGGATAGTGTTAAATCCCTGTTGGCCCCGGCTCATTTTCGAAAATTAATCTGTCACGGTTTCTTTTGAAACATTCCAGCGATGCTGACATCGCAATATCTGTGGTAAGGGCATTCCATGGCTTGACTTCTCAGGCAGAGAAGGAGATTTAGTGCACTGAACGCGCAGTTAAAT